GTAAGTGACGTCTTTGTTTGAGACAGGCTTTCTTTGTGTAACTCTGGCTGTCCTGGTCTGTGGACCAGGCTGTCCTCAAACTCAGAGATCTGCCTGCCTCTGCCTCCTGAATGCTAGGATTAAAGGCATGTGCCACTACACCTGGCTGACAAAGCTCTTTTGCATAGACACTAGTGTATCTATAAGACAATGTTTATCTTTTTGTTTTTACATTCACAAGTCACACGTGGCTTGGCAAGGTTAGATGACTTCTCAGGGCATACAGCTAGAGTAACAGAAGAATCTGAACACAGGTAACACTTGGAGAGTAGTGGCTCTCATCCTGGCCATCTCCTAAGTGCCCATTGGACAAAATGGATTCCAGCAAATGCAAACATGAGTTAGAGAACATTGAAGGCCATGACAGGGGCAACCTGGGAAGAGGTCAAAGAAGGATTGAACCTCTCTGACTCAAGGGCTAGGGAGGCCTCACATAGGGCTAAGCCTGGTGGGGGCTGGGAAGCTGGAAAAGAAGCTGGAGGCTTCCTGCTACATCGTTTTGTTCCCTGTCCCTCAGCGACATCTGAGCTGCAGCTGGGCCTCATGCACCAGCCAAGGACTCATGTCCATAATTCATTCATAAAGATTTATTTCTCTCTAAATCAGCAAATGGTGGTGTCCTTCACTGACAGCGGGTGTTCACAGAGCACTAGTCCTCTTGGCACTGGAAAACTAGCTGTGGCATTATGATGCCCCATTTGAAGATAGCAAGTGTGGGGAGCATTGCTTATTGTCACTTTCCATGGTAGAAAGCCACATCTTCATCCGCACTTGTAATCTTGGGTTTGGAGCTCAGCCTCAGCCATCTCTGAAGGCAGCAAATTTCCCTAGGGGGTTGTAAAGATCTCTTGAATGGCTGAAGGTGGTGGTGGTGATGGTGGCAGTGCTGATGATGTGGTAGTTGTGGTAGTGATGGTGATGATGATGATAACAAAAGCGATGATAATGACAATGAGCAATGATGGTGATGATAATTATTCTGCAAGCAGCTGCTGTTAGTTAATCACACACTTTCTTTGCTCCTCAAGTAAGCTAATGTCATAGAGAAGGAACACCTGTTCTTCAGGACTACAGCTGTCATCAGCTGTAGTCAAGCTCAGTTTACCTGGAGTGTCCTTAAATTGCACAGTCTTGAGTAAACACTTTCACACATTCTTCCAAACTGTAGCATTATTGATCAGTGTAGCTACGAAATGTAGTCTATGTATATTGAATACATAAATGTACTCAGTCTCCTTATAGGGTGAGGGGAATCACTCAATTTTTAGAATGACCCTTTTTCTTCTACATCCTTCATTTCTCACCTATGTGACCCCTAGCCCCTAACCTAATGTGCCTTGACTATGCCTCCACTCTCCCATTTCATGCTGTGCCCTCAGCAGAAAGATACAGAAGCCTAGATAGGATCAAACCAATTCTTGGAGAGTGAGAGTGGGAAGCCCTAAACAGGTGACCCCAGAGCCTATGAGCTGTCCTTGTAGAAGGCAGGCTTGATGTGCCTGGGCTCTCCGTAGCCACAGCAATAACCCCATCAGGCTCCTTTTGCTGACTGCATTCAAATTTCAAACCCAACTAACAATCCAACGTGAGCTTCAATTTAAAAATGTTTCAACCAGCACAGCCCTGCAATGTGGGAGCAATATTATCTGCACATTAAACACCAAATGATAGCTAACGTGTTGATTGACATTTAACCAGCATCCAGTGTGAAGATGCCTCTTTTCTGTGGAGTCGGGCGTGTGTAATAATTAATTGGCATTAACAAACATAATCGTATGGCTGTAAATGCAGAGTGCAGTGAAGCCAGTCATGACTGGAAAGCGGGGTTTCTTTACATCAAGTTCAGGCTGTCTATCTAACCTGTCACACATGTCAGGAAAGGTCCTAGTTTTCAAGTCACAGCCCGAGTCTCCGGTGGCCTCTGCCAAAAGCCTATGTATGTGCTATGAGCCAGCCTCTGGGGATGACAAATACTGCTTCTTGGCTTTGCTGTGTGTCTTTGTGGATGTCCTTTTCAGAGTCCTGCTGTCCCAAGCTAGCCAAGGACCAGGTGACATGAAAGCTGTTTCACATTCAAGCTCTTGCTTGAATCAACCGCTTCTGCTGCCCATGTGTTCCACGAGGCCACTGCAGTGCTGAGTGTGAGAGTACTGGCCCACGGGTCCCCGGGGCAGTGAGAAGGCTCCTGCGAGCCTCTGCCATAGCTACTGTGCCTATGTTCATCACAGCTGGGTTTTCTGTATGCTTCTATTTAACATAAGCTTATTTGACAGAGATGGTTAATTTATTAGCTCTGAACTAACAGGTTCACCTGTTCTTTAACTTAGACTCAGAGGAGGCTGGTTTAATTCACATATTTTCCTATGGTGCATACTGTACTTCCTTTTTGAACTCAGGGACACTAGACACCATACCAGTGGCATGTGTGAGGTCATCATCAGGAGACCTTCTACACTGCCAGTGAGTAGAGTAGTACAGCCCAAGAGGAGATGCCGCAGCACTTTAATTTATAAATAAATAAAATGATATCTATGTGCACTGAACTATAGCAGTTGCACTACTGGCTGTATAACCAAGGGAATGAAATCAGTATACCAAAAAGATGCCTACACACTCATATTCATTGATATGCCAGTCAGACTAGATGTAGTATGGTGTCAACTGTCCATCAGTGGCCTGGATAAGGAAGATACGGTACATGTACCCAGTGGAATTCCACTGTGTTTCATAATGGATGAAATCCAGAAGACATTTTTGTTAGCAAAAACACAACATGCAGCACAGGAAGATGATTACCACACAATCACATTCATATCCAGAATCTTTAAAAGGGTTTTCATAGATTTGTTGCACTGGCTAGTTTTTATTGTCGACTTGACACAACTTTCAGTCACCTGGAAAGAGGGAACATGACCAGAAGAATTGCCTCAGATTGGCCAGTGACCATGCCTGTAAGAGATTGTCTTGATTGATGTGGGAGGGCTCATCCCACTGGGGTGGGGGTGGGAGAAGACACTATCCCTAGGCAGGTGGGTCTGGGCTTCTTAAAATAGCTAGCTCGGCATGAGCCAGGAACAAGCCAGTCAGCAGCTTGGGTTCCGCCTTCTGCAGTTCCTGCTTGAGTTTCTGTCCTGATTTCCCTCCAGGATGGGCTGTGACTTGGAAGTCACAAAACAAATCCTTTCCTCCCCAAGTTGCTTTTGGTCAGAGTGTTTTATAACAGAAACAGAAATGCAAAAGTAGAACTGAAGTAGGAAACAGAACAGTGCTTGTCTGAGATGGGGTGGGCATGGGAAGATAGGTGTTTTCATCCTGCCCACAGTTACACTGGAGAGGAGGATTAAGCTCTATGTTGTATTGCATAGTTGGTGACTATGGTTCACACCGTGCATTGTATACTTCAGAACAGTTGGATTTCAAAGGTTTTCATAAAAAATGATAACATGGAAGGTGAACTGAGAGTTAACAATCCTGCCGTGAACCATCATATCGTATACACATGCATGGAGGCACCACATCGAGTCTCACCAATATGTGGATTCTATAAAACCATCAAAATCATCGGAGAATAATAAAAATGTGAGCACGCGACACCCAGCAGGCCATGGGCAGGCCATCCACAGTGCGAGGCTGAAGCAGGGAGGCAGAAGGTGGCCTTGTTGACCTCATCTGGGCTGTATACCTGGCCCTCACATTTCCCCCACTCTGTGAGTGTTCAACAGTGACGGGGAAGACCTGGAATATGGATTTGGGAGTGAGAATAAGTTGCATTGAGTAGAAATGTCCACAAGCTGTGAACCCCGAGGATGAGCTTGGCAGATTTCATTAAGAGTGGAGTTCTGCAGATGAGCATTCTCCGCCCTCCAGCAGGCCTTGGCTCGTGACACCCCGTAAACACTGTGGGATTCAAGGGAGCAGTGAAGGGTCATTGCGTTCCCTCCACTTCTCTGCAGTTATCTCTTCTTCTCAAGTTCGTGGCGGTCATAATTTCAATTAGGTGAGTCTGCTGTGGCTTAAATTAAGTTTCTATCTCTCACCTGACCCAGATCCTTCAGGAATGCTGAAGTTGAACCCCTTGACTCTCTTGGTCACTGGTCTCCTAAGAGTCATCCAGGAGCAAGAAAGAGCACGCTCACAGTGGGCTATGCTGGCGAGTCATACCTATGGCCCGTCTGCATGCATCCGTGAGGGGAAGTGGATAAGGCTGAGGCTTTTTAGGATACACGCACTGTGATGGGAAGCCTCGGACTCTCTGAGTTCATGGGTTCATCCTGGGCCTTTTCCATCTTTCCTGCTGTGGCCTTGCCTGGGAGATTGGAGCGTGGCATACATGCTGTTGGCGTGTCCACAGATATCTGAGTGCTCTGTGTATTTGGTCATTTATTGACTCACAGATAAGCTTTTAGTATACGCAGTGCACGCAAGACTTGTGCTCCCCATTGCGATCTACTCATCTTTTCCTCAAGAAGCTAGTCCACATTTGGGGTCATCCCAGACCACGCTGACAGGAACCCTTACTGGACATTGGACAGCATTTTTAAGGTGCTTGATAGCATTGCCTAGTGGTTTAAAGGGGGATGTGCTCATCTCGGCAGATTCTTACCAGTACTAGGGGGTCATTTTAGATCTTTGCTAAGTCAAAATGAGGCTCAAGATTTTCTTCCTCACTGTGGCAATGCCTCACAGCACATCCATGTCCCAGGATCAAGCCTGGATACCCCAGCCTTACACTGAATGTGTGTAAATGTGTCCACGTGCAGATTATAACAGAGGTTTTCTCTCTCTAAAAAAACGTCATAATATTGGCGAGTAGTTTGTCCTGTACTTTATTCCAGTGGTTCTTGCAAGAGTTTTATTCCTCCAGAAATTTCTGTGTAGAAATTTGGTTGAAGTTTTGGGGGATGTACTCATTCATATTCTTTCTCTCTTCCTTTGCCTGTTTCCAATAATGGAAAATGCAGCTGCTGAGGATGACAATTGCTAAACAAAGGCTCGGAGATGAAGAAATTGGCATGAGACATTTTGCAGCCCATGAGCGGGAGGACTTGGTTGAGCAGCTGGAGCGAGCAAAGGAACAGGTGACTGCTGAGCCCTGTTATGGGTGGGGCTGCCTGAACTGGCCTCACCACAGGCAGCGCAGAACATACGCTTGCGTGGCCCCTCACAGCTGGGGGTGGGGCACACACGCTCCTGGATCCAAGTCCAAGAGGAGACAAAGGATACCCGTAGCAGGCTTGACCTTCTCAGTTCTTCCTGGGTTCGTGCTGAGTGACTGACTCCTAGATGGCTGATCTCTAGAACTGATTGCTGCTGTTCTGTGCACACCAAGAGACTTATCACCAGCCACCCATGTGGGCAGCAGGGAGGTGATGTGACAAACTGGCCTTTAACTTAGGAGTTGCCACTAAGATTCTGAGCAATACTTTTATGCAGGGGTTGCAGAGCCCTGGTTGGGAAGCAGTTACAGGAATGAAGACTTCCTTATTCTGCTCTTGCTAACTGGCCACTGGATGCCCAGGTTTGAGTGGCTGAGAACAGCATGCATTTGTAAGACTCTAGGATCAGCCTGCCCTTCCCATGCCTGTGAATGGGGGCAATGTGCAAGGGTTTGAGATCAGCTCCTCTGTTCCACCCACCCATGCTAAGTGTCAGGCTGGAAGGTGTCCCCAGGCTCCAGCCTTTACAATGTGGTACATGCAATATGGGTGACTTTAGCACTTGAGCAGTCCTCATGAGCTCTCCAAGTCATCCCTAGCCCAAAAGCCCACATGTGAGAACCATTGTTACATTCCTTGGATTTCAGATAGAGTCATTAGAGCATGACCTGCAGGCTTCAATGGATGAACTCCAGGATGTTAAGGAAGAGCGGGCTTCCTACCAGGATAAAGTGGACAGGCTGAACCAGGAGCTCAACCACATCCTGGGTGGTCATGAGAACCGTATCATCGATGTGGATGCTCTGTGCATGGAGAACAGGTAAGTGCCAGGCATTCCAGGGAGGCAGGCTGTGTGTGTGTGTGTGTGTGTGTGTGTGTGTGTGTGTGTGTGTGTGTGTTGGGGAGGGGGCAGTCCTGAAAACCTGCCTGAAATTGAGACAGCCACATTTGGAATCAAAAGCGTGTTGCAACCCCAAATATTGTCAATGTCATGTACTGGTTATAAAAGTAAGAAAAGGGAAGAGATACCCACAGATCTCCCCTCCCTCACTCTCTCCACACTTTCTCTGATTGGGCCACAAGGGTGAAGAGCCAGAGAGAGTTGTTTGTGATTGCTGCCAAGGAGAAGGGAAAGAATAGGAAAATAAATTGAGAAAATCCCTAAGCTCTGTCTTTCCCCCCAGGCACATTTCAGTGTGTGGATGTGTCTGACTTGTGTTTTGGCTGGCGTCTCTTCTTCCTGGTTTGCTCCCCAGTGGAATCATCTTAATGAGAATTATGTGAGAATGGTGCTGTTGTCCCTTAGGAGATCTCTATGAGGGCTGTTTTAAAATGGGGTGTCTGTGATTTGGGCATGTCTGACCTTGATCATATCTGTTTAATAAAAAGCCACATTTTCCTGCCCTACCCCTCCAGGATGGGAAAGAAGTCGTTACATGCAAATGACAGCGGGGCTTCATGTTTTGCTGTTATTACTCAGTGGGCTTCATTTTGCTTCCATGCTCATTCTGGTTATGTGTGTGTGTTCTAGGTATCTCCAAGAGAGACTAAAACAACTCCATGAGGAAGTCAGTCTTCTGAAATCGAACATTGCCAAGTACAAGGTAAACCAATGAAGACCAAGCCTGTGATTCGCCACTCAGCATTTGAGTGTCATCCTATTTCGATTTTCTTTTATGTTTCAAAGGCATTTCATCTCTCTCCTGTCCTCCCAAACGGAGCCCAATAAGAGCCCTAGTTGGAGTAGCCAGTAAAATCAACCACAAAGCAATAAACTCCCAACACTGTTTTCCCCAGTATCTGCATCTATCTCTAAGGTCTAGACAAGATACCCTGAGACCTCCAAAACCTGCGTGCTTTAGCATGGAAACTTGGCCCTGTGAAGTCAGGGTCCTCTTCACTTCCTCTATGATATGTGCAGTTGTAGGATGCTATTTCTCTTATAATTATGACCCCAAGAAAATGGTTTCTGTGTGAGAAGAAACCAAGATGAGAAACCACAACCCAAATGCTAATGTCCAAGGCACCTTGAAAGGGTAGAAAGTTTGGATTAGCCATCTGTTATTTAATCTAATTCCAGCTCCACTGGTTTGATAATATGTATTTCTGCAGATGTTAATTGTAAGTATTATAACTGGAAAACTCTCCTGGATCGCTCTGCTTTGAAAATTGATTGATGTTTCTTCCTACGGTGAAGTTTTATAGCCAACTGAATACTAGAGAGAGCTGGCACATTGTCCTGGTTGTTGATATTGGCTTTTCTTCTCAGAGATCACCATGGCTTTCCATTTGGTGGGAGTCACACTTTTTGTTTCCATCAATCTGTAGATAAACACGAAGCCAGGGAAGTGTGTGCTTTTTAGTATGTAAATTTACAACCATATATCCTTTTACCTGTCATGTCAGTGTGAACACAAGAGCCCATTCTAAGAATGACCATAGCAGCACATGACTTAATCCTGCATCCAAGGCAGACATCACTAACTGACCATGATCCCTTTCTAACCCAAGCCTATCTTTCCAGATGCCACCATTGGTACATGAAAGCAAAAGTAGTTTTCATCTCATGTCTATTCTAAAATCATTTCCATAACAAGTCTCTTTACACGTTAGACTGGGTACTTGCCTCAGATGTGATTTAAGGAACATGAATTAAACACCTATGAATACAAGGGAATATACTGCCTTTCTCCTTTGAAGTAACCTAAAAACAAAACAAACCCAACTGTATGGAGCCTCTTAAAATTCCAAGGACTGAGAGTTCTATATTTTAGGCTACATTTGGAGTCTGCCAGGGCTCTGGTGGGTTCACAGGGTGTATCTCCTTAGCAAGGTATTTTTCCACCACTGCCTTTTCTGACAGAGATTTTTGGTTTTTCCATTGCTGCTGCAGAATGCTCTTGAGAGACGGAAAAACTCTAAGAGTCAAGGCAAGTCCAGCAGTAGTGCTCTGACTGGAGTCCTGTCTGCAAAGCAAGGTAGGAGTTCATGTCCAGGTTGACCAGCTTCTGAACATGTCCTACCCAAGCCTCTGGGTTTGTGAGGCGAAAATGGTGGCTCCTGACATGCTGCTTGCAGCAGAGTTGCCTGAGTCCTCCCAACCCAGATTATGCCCTACTGAGGCTTCTGATTCGATAGGTCTGGGGGGGGGGGTGATACTTAAGAATCTACATGTTTTCAGGGTTCCCAGGCCATGCTGCTGTACCGGGAGACTCCACTTTAGGAACCATCACCTTAGAGCTTCACCAGTGATTGGATCTATATCTACCTGAGGATGTTTTTCCTTCCCCCATCACCACCTAAAGGCCTGGAGATGATCAGCCTCCTTGGGTGTATTTCTCCAGTCTCTGTAGACAGAATGGAAACGCCCCTACTGCATTGATCATTGCACCATGGATCATGGGAACGCATGCCTTTTTCAAAGAGGCTTTTATTGATTGCAGCTTTTTTCCTTCTTCCTGTCGATTCCAATAAAAAATAATGATCTATTGGGAGCAGTCAGGGGAGTAAATGGCAGAGCTTGAGGCTGGTACTTCATATTCTGCAGTCAGTTCTTGACTTAAGCCTAGGTTGTACGGTCCTGCTTCTCCACTGCTGACAGTGAGGACCAGCAGCTATCATGGCCCAGTCTTACCCAGAACTGGCTTAAAAAGCATAATGTCTTTAGTGGGCCTAACAATCAAGGTTCTTTTCCAAGCAACCTGTTTTTCCCACTCAACTAGAAGTGAACATCCTAGAGTTGTTTTTGAATGGGAAGAAGCTATTAACACCATATGAAAATGTGGAAAAGCCCATCTAGGTGGTTCAGCAGATAGCCTGTCTGCCATGTAAGCGTGAGGACCTGTGTTCAGATCTCCAGCCCCATAGAAACAATTGGTTATAGTGGCATTTGAGGCCATGTTGGTCTACATATCAAGTTCTAGGCTAGTCAGGGCTGAGTAGAGAGACCTTGACTCAAAAATAGAAGATGCAGAGAGATTAAGGAAAGCACTGATGTCATCTTATGGCCTGAACATCTACCCACACATGCATGTACACACATGATCATGTACATATGCATAAACATATACAGAGAAAGGAAGGGAGGGAGGTAAAAAGAGATAAGTAGATACATAGATAGATAGATAAATAGATACATACATACATACATACATAGGTATGTACATAGATACATAGACAAGTACATAGATACAGGCATACATACATACATAGGTATGTATGTACATAGAGACCATGCATGGTTAGCCCTGGATACCTACCATACCTAGCAACCAGTTTAGAGTGTGGCCCCCATGCTGACTCTTATGTCACAAGTGCTGACCACACTCAAACACCATGCAGAGATACACACTGACCCGAGCCTTGTAGAAAAACCTATCAGAGGAGCTTGTTACCATGATCTACTGGATAGGTAATCAAAATGCATGAGCATGGCGACCCATCATGAAAATCCTAAATAGAAAGCCCAGCAAGAACTAGCAAGAAATATATTAGATAGTATGAACTTTTTAGCTACAAGAAATGTCTTCATACATTCTGCATTTTGACTGGAAATGGCATAAATATCTAGATAGGCGAATTTTTACAAACCTAAATTGCCTATTAAAACCTTCATGTTTTAGGGGATATTAATGAAGTGGAATGTTAAGTAAAAAAAAAATAGTATTTTCCCCATTTCCGAAGAATGTTGCATGAATCTGTATACATGCATATAGACACATAGGAATGAGGTTCGAAAGAGTCACAGTGTTTTTTCATGGCCAGGAGGAGTACCAGGTAATTGTCGCTTGTATTTTTTTTCTCCATTGATTCACCCCTTAAAAGTGGTATATTACTTTTGCAGTAATCAGAGAGTCGGAAGGGCAAGGAATAATTGTCATTTGCAGGGCAGTATGACCTTTAACAAGTATTTTTAACAATAAAAATTTTTAACAATAAAATAGAAATAAATAACACTTGCTAGGTTTGGGGGCTTTTTTTTTTCAGCTCAAAATCTTAGTGAGTTAGCATAAAATATCTGCACACACTGGCAACTGAAAATATTATTAGTCTCCGAACAAGTTGCAAATGAGTGTGGCTCAGTGAGAGCGTTCTTGCTTAGCATGTGCAAAGCCCTGCGTTCCGTTCCATTTTGACAAAAAGAAAAAATAAAAGGGGGTGGTGGTGGTGGTGATTAAACTTCTTTAAGATTTCTCTGCTTAACTCTCACACTGGGTTTTAGGTTGTTTTCCTTGCGGTAGTTGATATAGGCTCTCAGTAAAACACAACAGCAAAGCTTGGGACTCCCATTATCCAGGAATAACTGAGATGGGTTTGCAGTCCCACGTTTCAGAATCCATGACTGAGCTGTTGGCGTCATCTTCCCTAGTTCAGGATCTGCTCTCTGAAGATCATGGGTGCAGCCTCCCAGCGACTCCACAGTCCATTGCTGACCTAAAGTCGCTGGCCACGGCCTTGCTGGAAACGATCCATGAGAAAAACATGCTCATTCAGCATCAGAGACAATCCAACAGGTGCGCAGTAGATCCCTAGTCTGGGGCAGGGGGAGGCGGGTAGGAGAGTGGGCTCCCAGAAGTAAAGCACAAACTCTCTGGGAAGAAAGTTAACACCCTGAAATCTAGGGGATAAGAGCATGAAACCAGAGCCAATTCTAGGTTGCTTTGGCATCCAGCTTATCCACCAGAGCCAATGAAATGGGGGTCCTGACTTCTCGGTGATGGGGGTCCTCCGAGCTGTGCTCGAGGTGACACCAGTTTCATAGTGGCTCCCGTGGGACAATGCCGGATCTCTTGCCTCTTTCTTAGGGCTCCTTTGAAGGCATGAGCTGCCTCAGTGCCCCTCCTACCCCATGGCATGGCTGAGGGTCTCTGTTGGCCAGGAGAACAATTATCAATGGCTGCAGGCTGCTGTGCCTTTGAGGGAGCCTCCTGTCATGTTTTCAGATAATCAAGGAAAGATGTTGGAAAGGAAAAGGAAAGAAGTATCCTGTTTGATGTTTTTCATGAGTGTTGATTATATTGTATCAAATTGAGTAAGCTAAGGTAGGCTAAAATAGTGGTCAGAAGCAACAGAGCAAAGCTGAAGATGTTCTGAGAATAATGAAGGCGAACAATAAGTGAATATTGCATACACCAGTCTATTTTCTGTTCCTGGGACTAGGTAACTTATGAATATTTTTTTTAAGATGAAAGAAGTTTATTTCTCACACTCCAGAAGGCTGAATTCAAGAGCATGTCACCGTGTCTGGTGATGGCCTTCATGCCACATCTGAATATGACCCAGGTGCCATATTGTCAGACATAGCAAGCATGCTCACCAGCATCTCTTCATAAACCCATTGATGCCATGGTGGGGGCCTCAGCCTCCTGCCATCATCTCACTGGAACCACCTCCTATTGACATATATGCTGGGACATTTAGCTTCTGACGCAGGAGCGCATTTGAGTCACAGCGGGACCAGCTTTGTGGCATCTACACCTACAAGGACTTGGCATGTGGCCACATATTGTTACCACCATCTTGAAGTTCGTGACAGTTTTTTTTTTGTCTCGCATAGAAGCCTGAAAAATTATAGGTGGCCCTGCTCCCAACACCCACACTCAGAGCCACAATGACAATGCAGAAGAATGGAGTGAGAACAGATGTTAGGCTTAGAGGGGAAGGACCTGAGAACCGGGCCTGCCAAAGACAGGGACACCCACGGAAGAGGCCACAGGAAGATGATTGAAAGTGTTATAAAAACAAAAGAGAAAAGGGAAATGATGGAGTGCGGAGAAGACTGTGCCAGAGATGAAGATGTATGTGGGAGAAAGCAAGAGCATCAAAGGGAGGCCCACAATCTCCCTGGATGACAGGGTAATTTATTGACAGGAGAAGTTTGCAACAGCCTTGCAGAAAACGAAGCAGCCATGCTGAACTGGCTGCTCTCAGGAAGTAGGGCTGGGGATCTGGCGGGGGTGAGGCTGTCCTCGAGGATCCCCTGGAGCAGGCAGGGAGCCTGCTACTTATGCCTGAGCAGCACCTGGCCAGGAGCTCTGGGCTCCTTTGAACCTCACCATCCCCACCACAGCAGGCACAGGCCCCAGATGCAAACCACTTTCTTCCTGTATGGAGGCTGACATTTCCGTTCTTCATGTCATTTTTATTTGAGCACCACCTTTGCGCATTTAGCCACTTTAAAATAATTTTTGAGCCACACATCTCGCCTATCCAAAACCTCTTCATGGAAGAAGCCACCATTTCTTGTGTTGCTGTGTCCTTCAAATCATGCAAATGAAGGCATAGTACGTGGAAACACACCTAAGTATTCATATACTTATGATTTTTAAAACAACAACAAAAAAAGCAGCTATTCCTTATCATAGAAAAGGGAGGGGCGCCCTTTGTTCCTTTATTCTTTAGCTTGCTTTTTGCCCCGTGACAATACACAAAGATGTGTCAAAGGTGCTATTTTTTGTACTTTGAAGGCCTTCTCTTTCATCGTCCTGGAGCATATAAAGAAATTAACTGAACTATAAATGAAGGCTAAGAACAGAATGCGAGCTTGGTCAGCTGGCTGGTGACCCTCATGAATTAGCCTTATTTCAACAACAGCAACAACAGCAAAAGCTTTATTAGGTGAAGCAGTGCCTCAGGTCATGGCCTGCTTCTGGCAGGATCTCCTGTGTGGCCCTGAATAAGTCGTTGCCCTCTAAGAGCTCCAGGTCCCTCATCTACAAATCAAGGACCCCTAGCCAATTGTTAAGAAGAAAAACAAAACAATACAAAACAGCAGCAGCAGAAACCAGGGCAGTGTGTTAAGTGGCAAAACACCTGGCTTGGAATAAATTCTGGATACATATCAGCTGTCCTTAGGTTCTCTTTCACATATGTCTTATATGTCTACTAGCAGATTATTGGTCTCTAGAATAGGAATAGGGGTTTCTTTCAATTTTCCCTCCAGCCTGTAGCATGGAGGTGGATCCTAGGAGCCTGAGCTGGATTTGTTCTTACCATTCTCTCCATTCTGAAAGCTGCCAGCCACTGCGGCTCTGACAACCTCTCTCTCTCTCTCTCTCTCTCTCTCTCTCTCTCTCTTTGGAGACAGGGTTTCTCTGTGTGGCCTTCACTGTCCTGGACTTTCTTTGTAGACCAGGCTGGCTTCAAACCCAGAGATCTGCCTGCCTCTGCCTCCTAAGTGCTGGGATTAAAGGTGTGTGCCACCATGCCCAGCTTCTCACAGCCTCTTATATCAGCTCCCATAACCCCTGCCTAAGTCTCTGTGTGAGGCCAGGTAGGAGATCCCTTCTACACGTGCAAAGCAACTTAGGTTGTATTTTTGCGCATCACCTATGGCTATATCCGTATTTCCATGAGCACAGTTTTTAGGGAATACTTGTACACATGTGAACAAATCTAAGGAGGGTTGTTTTAAAGTGCCACTGAAGGGGGTATGTATTAAGAACGTGAAGTTCAGAGGCTAAGCGAGGCCTAGACTCAGATCCAGACTCATCACTGAGTCCTGTATGTAGTTTAGGCCAAGGTAAGTAATTTCTGTAAGTTACCCCTGATTCCTAATGGGACAAGTAGCATGTGGTATGAGTTGGCCTTGAAATAGACTGTGCTTGGGCAGGCTGCTTAGCCTGTCTGTTCCTTACTCTCCACACCTATAAAAGCATCATGGTACCACAGTGCATACTGCAGAGTTTTTCCCAGGTCGCTGTGTTAGGTAGATGTTCAGCATATCTGGTGCCTCATACTAAGGACTCTGGGAAAAGCAGTTGCCATGTGTGTCCATGGTGATGCAGTCACTATTATTGATGCTTCTGTTGCTGCCCTTGCCACACCCACAGCTTCCCCTGGATCCTTTTATTATCTCCAGCTTTGCATCAGGTGCTGGTATCAGAACAATGAACAGAGCTACCACTGATAAACTCAAGCAAGATCCTTAGAAGTAGAATGTAGGGGGGGTACCAGCCACTCCACTCATTCTGTTTCTGGGAGAAATGTCTGGGTTATCCAGAAACAGCATGAGCAAAGCCTCTATGCTCTGTGTGTAAATGCAGCTCAGGGCATCTCTCAACATCACTGAGTAGAGCCTTAGCCTTTGTGCCTAAGAGGCAGCTGCAGACATGTGATCCGATCTCATTCAGAAACAGGCATCAGCTTGAGTGCTGTTGTGATGGAGTGTCAGACCCATCAGCTGTGAGGAAGGCAGCATGGCTCAGAAGGTCTGTGCAAAATATTGAAAGGCAGATTAGGAACAATGCTGTCTATGGAAGGGTCAAGGGTGTGAAAGCATCACAGACCCAACAGATGGGTCGAGATTGGAAGTAGTTGATGAACACCATGCAGGGTGCAAGGCTTAAGGAAACAAGGAAAAGGTGGGCTCTAGTAACTAGATGAAGGAAACCATCTAGAGGAACGCCAGTCTCCCTGTGAACTCCAAGGGAAGATTAAGATGCTGCAGGTCGATTCAGGTAAAATCAGGATGAACCGAGCTGTATATATGTGCAGCTATATGCATATTCATGGCCCTGAATGTATGTGGGTGTGCACAGCTATCTCTGGAATAGAAAGAGACGTAGGAGAATAATTCTGCTGCTCTAATTTATCCCACTGAAAGGAATGGAGAATTTGCTATTAAGGAGATTTTCATGTCGTTTCAGCACAGCAGTGCCAAGAAAATCCCCCAAATAAAAATAAAGACTGGTTTCCAATTCCAGACCACTGGAAAGCAAGTGGTTTTAGATGACTGCCAGTCACTTCTCAGCTATATTTAATGTCTGGAGCAAAGAAGCAGATGTTTACCTATGCATGTATACACAAAGCCTGCCTTCCAAGCACACAGTCTGATCTTTCCCAGTACACACTTCAGAATTTAGCTATCCCAGTGAGTCAGAATGGTCATTATACAACTGATTCTCAAATAACTGAAAAGTCTTTTTCAGAGTTTCTTTTTGAGATTTGTTTCCTTATGTGTGTTGGGGACAGGGTGCAGATGTGCCATGTCTGGTGTGTGAGGTCAGAGGAAAACCTGCAAGAGTCGGTTCTCTCCTTCTCTGTGGGTCCTGGGGATCAAACTCGGAATTTGTGGAGCTTGCCATCAGATGCCTTTGTAGAGCTATCACATAGTCCCACTGGGAGGAATGGAAGCAAGTGCGGCAGGGCGCAGCGTATGAAATTTCCAAATAATTCATAAAAGTGTTGTGTTGTGGAAAAGAGAAAACTCTTTTGAAATTCTTATTATTTGCCTTTTCCATAGACAATTGCAGATTATGAAAAAGGGAGGAAAAAGGAATGTGTTTAATTACACACATTTCTTGGCAACCTGCACTATGCCAGACATTGTTCTTGATATCCAGGGCATGGACATCCGTAAGGCCTAGTGTGTGTGTGCAAAAGCTGATCTTATTAGTTTATTTCCTTGGAAGAAACATCTCCAAGTGTGTCCATCTCTCTTACCTACTGGTTCCAAAAACCAAAACTACTGCCAGAGAATGAGTGTGTAATGTTACTAAGGGCATTCTAAATCAATTGTCATCTTTAGCAACGAGCAATTCTCAAATGGAAATCCCGTATGACATGTTAGGCAGTGAGGGAATAATTGTTCAGGAATTGCCATGTAGAACAGAGCCGAATAATGTATTCGTGCATGCATGAATAATGCATGCATGAATAATGTATTTGTGCATGCGTGCATGCATGTGCATGTATGTTTCACTTTATTTTCTATTTCCATAGAAACTTCAATAGAGTAAGTATTATGTACACTTGTATACCCGAATGCTCAGGTCTTAAATCTATTGACTTCCCCATTAGCTACTTCCTAGGCCTAAAGAGTGACAGGCGACTGTCTCCTCTTACTATTTTCTTGTCTTGTCCAGAATCCTAGGGAACCGAGTGGCAGAGCTGGAGAAGAAGCTCAGAACTCTGGAAGTTTCTGGTTTGTGGAGCCTTCCAGGTAAGCAGAGACTTGCGGACGGCGGCTTCCATGTGTTTAAAGAATTTGCCAAGAAGATTCTGCCTGTTTGAGGCCCTTTGATTTGGAGACTGTTGAGAAACATTTCACAAATGTTTCCCATTGAGAAACCATCCTAGGCAAGTCCATGAAAGGGACAAATCCAGAAATATACAATAAAATTTCAAATTCTCATTAGTAGGGCACTGAAGTTTAGGAAGCCTAACTTTGCAAACTGTCATAGTGTGTGTGTGTGCGCGCGCGTGCGTGTGTGCATCCTCGCACACATGTATTAACCTTTGTGAATGCCTGTGAGTTGTTTCATTTCTTATCAGTAGTCATCTTATAAAGATTTGTTCCATGTAACCTTCCCTCCTAAAACAAATGGGAGAATATACAAAGATTTGTTCAATTTAATCACCAGTCCTAAAAATGAATATAAGATCTTACAAAGATTTGTGCAATTTAATCATCAGCCCTAAAATGGAATGTAAAACCACACAAAGATTTGTTCAGTTTAATCACCAGTACTAAAAATGAAGCGCCAACCATTTCTCCAGCTCAGATGTACTTCACAGCCACCTTCTCCTGCCACCTCCTCCCAACAGTTTTATGTAGCTTGAAAACAAAAATTTCCTGAGCAGACTCCCCCCGACATTTGCCCAATTGTGAGAAGCCATAGTGTTTCTCTCTAACGAGCTATACTTATCCCGTTTATCCCAGTAAAATACCCCTCTCAGGAGACCCCATCAGTTCTTCTCCTTCGCCTTTATGCTGTTTGGAAACTTATATTTATCGTTTTCTGCCGCCTCCTGGTTCCCTGGAAGGAACATTGTCCGGGTATTTTTAGTGTCTTACCCTTTCCATGCAAAGCGGTCTCCTCTTCCCTCGGCTCCTGTGGGCTGCGTTCCTGTACGGGTGAGAAATGAAAATTGCCACAGGAGAGGAGGTGGACGACATCACATTTTCCTCAGTGGAAATCTGAATAGCTGCCTTAGGTTGCCTGCAAGCGTGTTTCATAAATTGGAATTTTTTGTAGCAATTCCTTGAACTGGATGTCAAAAGACCTCACAGAACTAATTAGTGGCGAGTGCCGTCCTGGGGATTTGAATGGTCCATTTTGCACCAGCTGCTTTTGATGATGTTCAAACCTCATCTTCTGTGAAGGCCTTTCTTTTACCGCATAGAATTTCAATGGAGACAGACAAATTTGTCATTTATTTGTGCAGTCAAATTGCTGTTTTTGTGCATGTACCAAAGCTTTGATTTCCCCCCTCAAAATGACTTAGTGAATTTTCTCACTGTTCCATTTGTGTGATTTATGTAAAAAGATAGAAGTTGAATGGGTGAATCAATGCTGGGAATTTCCTGTGTCTGGTGTTTGTTTGGTCAGGTGGGACTTCAAATGGCTGTTCTACAATAATAACTGTTTTTTCCTTCTCTTTTGCTGCTGAAGGCTTGAGCTACAATGTTTCAGTTGGATTTGGGAGTATGTTCATTTCTAAATATTTGGGGTTCATTGTGGATAATGTTGGGATATATTTCTATCATCCGTGCATGTAAATAATAGAAATTTGTTAACCACCTTTCTGTTAACTTTCTACATAGAATAAATTTATTGAAATAGAGAATTCAATTAGTGCAAAATAAACATTAGCAAGTATAGTTACCTTGAAGGACCAGCCTCAGTAGGTTTTTTGCTGTGGGCATGGGAGTCTCCAGCCTTTGCCTTTCACACAGATAAAAGTTGGGGCATAGGAGGGAGAGTGGCACTTTCCTCTTTGGATACAGTTCTTATTATTGCAACAGATTTGCCTTGAGCATGTGTGAAGCATGTGGATGGAGCCTCGTGTTAGGGTGTTTGCAGTCCTGGAGAGTAGGGCAGAGAGTGGTGCTCTTTCTGCATGAATCATATTAGTTCCCTGACTCCACTTTTATGTGTCTCCATTTAATCTCCCACAGGGCAGAGCAAGAAACAATGTGTTCTCTCCCCACCACCCAACACCTCCTCTGCCTCCTCCATCTCTTCTTCTTTCTCATCCTCTCCCCAAAGAGCAGCTAAATCACAGTAGAAGGTGTTGAGTACCAGTACTTTCAGAGAAATACCATCTTCCCCAATAAGTCAGTCCATCCATGAGCTTCAGCTCTGTGAATACAACACCATACCAAGCTACCTGACCCCTCTTCCTTACGAACCTGTCTTCTACCTAAGGAAGCAAGGTGATTCTCCATCAAGCAGTGGCGGGGAAAACAAAATATTGGTGCTGAATGAGTGCTCAGGATACAAACACTAGATAGATGATAGCTGGAGTCATCTGACGCTTCTCTGTGAATAACAGCTAAAAACAAGAAGATTCAGGAAGGCAAATACTGGTGTGTACAATGAACACCCCTTGCACTCCAGTTCCACGCATTACCAATCGATCATAGCAGTTTTTCTTGCTGATGTGGCAGCAGTCTTCCATATTGGCCAATTTCAGTCAGAGCAGACATGTGGAAGAGCATTTCCCCCCTTCCTAATCTGGTCTGATATGTTCATTTTAGAACAGGAAACAGTGAGGGAGCTAGATAACATATCAAGTTATGGAAGATAACATTAGACTTGGGTGTTTCATGTTTTACAAGCCATCTTCTATATGTGCTGGATGACTGTAGTTCTGAGCCAAGATACATAGGCAAATGAAGTAAGTGGATGCTGGTTTCTGGACCAGAGAAGAGGGATCCAGAAGGCATAAAAATCCTTTTGAGACTCTAGGGGCTATCTAAAAGTCCACGAGGCGGAGAGCTCTGTGTGTCTCAGCTCTCCCCCTCTTTTCTCCTGACCTACACCATCAAATTTTGTTTTGTTTTGTTTTATGAGACAGAGACCCATGGAGCCCAGTCTAGCCTTGGACTTGCTATAGTAGCTGTGGATGACCTTGAGCTTCTGATCCTCCTCCCTCTGCCTCCAAAACATAGGCATTCGCTGTCATACCTTGCTCATTCAGGCTGTGGGTTGAACCCAGGGTCAAATGCTTGCTAGATAAGCATGCTACAAATAAGTTCCATCCCCCAGTCTCATTGTAGAGTTCTTGACGGTGTTTTCTCGACTTGGGGTCACTTTGTGATCTTGCTGTAGAGTAAACACATTTGACAGATGTTATAGGCTGTAGGAAGAAGTCATCGAGAGAGCTGAGACTTCCAGGCTGTTTTGCCTTGAGAGTGACAAAGCTAGAGGGTTGCTACAAGAAAGTCAGATGCTAGGAGCTGCAGGCCATGCTCTCTAGCCAGGGTTGATTCCTCTACTCCAAGATGATGGCATCCTTCCCTCAGATCTTCTCAGATAGCTATGAAGAGTGTCGTCCCAGATGTGTTCACATTCTACCAAGAAACACTGGGGGCTGGGAGATGGTTCTTGGCAACTTGCTGGACAAGCATGAGGACTTGAGTTTGAATCCCCAGAACCCACATAAAACCAGGCCATCTTAGCACACATCTGTAATCCCAGAGTTCCTATGGCCAGATGTGATGAGGAGACAGAAGGATGGGCCAGATAGCCTGGTATATGTAGCAGATACCAATGTGACCCAGTCCCAAAGGAGGTGGGAGGCAAGGACCAATACCCAAGATTGTCTTCTAACTCCTACATAAGAGCTATGACACCCCACCCCCACCCCCCAAACACACTGAGAACAGCAGTGCGGGAGCATAGACAGAATCCACAGAAATACCAAAAGCCGGAAAATAATCTGGCCAGAGGCTATAGTCTGGCTTTCTGAGCTTTTCATTTTCATTCTGTCTCCCTCTCCAGGTATCAGCCTGAGGAAAAAAATGTGGGAGTTGAAAGCACTTGTTTCATTTCTAGAGGCTGGAATGAGAGTGTTGGAACTGTATGGAATCAGCAGAGCTCACAGCTACTCTAGCTCCGGCTGAATGGGAAGCCCATGCGGCCTTCTGCGTTAGTGGTCCTTTGACCTAGCGTGCAGAATTTCCTCCCTGACACAGCCGCCCCTCTAAGCATGAAAGCTTAGATGGCCAGACTATTGAATTAGAGCTCAGCTCAGTGGCCACAGCTGGCTCCAGCCCTTCAGAGAGACAACTGAACCGAGCGCCATCTAAGAAAGGCTTTGAATTTCCAAACATGGCAAGAGTGACCAGATGTTGGTGTGTTGATAGTATGGGAACACCATCTCCAGGCAGGATTTTGGGAAGGCTTATCTTTTCAGCCCACTGTGGCTTGTTTGTCTTCTCTTCGTGCTCTTTGCTCAGGAGTTTGCAGACTTGTGTTTGTGAGGAGCCACTCACAAACTCGCTTCCTTGGATGGAAGATGTCCTAGGGCTTGTGGGGCCAAGGAGACATCCCATCCTAAAGAAATTTCTGCAAGGGGAACTCCCTGGCTACCTTGGTCACTGCCAGTTCCTACTCCTGCCTCTACATCTGATTCTTTGACCACCAGGGCGCAGAGGGTTGAAGGCTGGTTTGATGCAAAGAAGATGGAACCTCCCCCAGTAGGCTGGCAAGTTGCCAGTCCACCTGCCAGAGACAGAGGGCGTGGAATATACTCCTGACCCTGACTGTAGATATACTGTGCTACTGTGATGGAGATAAAGGAAGGAAGTCTACCAGAAGGCACCTGTTGCCTGCTATAGTCCCTACAGCCAGTCACCAAGAATGCACAAACCCAGATTGTGTCTTTGCGCTCCGGAAGGGGGTCAGCTGTAGATGTCATTCTGAGGGTTTCCCATGTCATTCTGAACCATAAGTCCACAGTGCCTTTTGGGAAACCTTTCAAGATGGTAGCCCTGAAGTTTCTAGATTTATTCCACCAGAAACAGTGGAAGTGCCTGTCAGAACCTCAGGGTCAGCTCCAAGCAGCTTCTCCTCAGCTGGCCTGACACCCAGGAGACAGAGAACCTAAAGGCTATTGAGCCAGCACTTGCCATTTGCCCAAGTCAGCAACAAGCACCAACCATGCCAGATAACAGGACCCATTAAACACTTCAGTCAGAAACACAGACTTCTCAGGCATCTTGTGTCTACTGTGTGCAGAACTCTCAAACATAATTAATCCACTTAATAAGACAGTTTTCTAAAAAGCAGGCACAGCCTAGGAACAGAGTGATGCTTGACTTCATCTGATTTTCCAAAGGAGGTGTAGACATGTGTTTTTACCCAAGTGGCCTTCGGGGCTCTGATGCGTGGGAAAACAAGTAAGAAATCATGGCACTTCAGAGAAAATCTTACTCTAAGCCAGGCTGGAGTCATGATCTGGAGCTTTTGTATTAGGCCCAATGGTCTCCACCGAGAAAATCCTAAAGCCTTTCAAAGCCAAAACTTGGCCTCATACCATGCCTATGGGCTCTGCTGACCTTGTAGATGATGTCCAGGTATTTGGGGCCAATACCTCTGTCTGTTATGCTCATGTTTGAAGCTGTACTTCCCTGCTGCTCGTCTGTGTGACCTGCTCTGCCTTCCCCAATGGAAGCGTGGTGCATTTTCCCTTGCCTTCTCATTCATGCCCAACCTTTCTACCCTCTAAGGAGTTCACACTAATAGCAACAAGGTTAAGCTTAGTGTATATTCCAAGTGGGAATACAGCTGGGATGCTGTGAAGGACTTGACACCACCTGCCTTGAGACAGAGTTACATAGTTGACATGACCAGATGCAATTAGGACAGTATCAGCTGTGTGGGACTCTTTGCTGCCGATTGCAGCAGGTAACATTTGCTAAGTGCTCTCTAAACACTCAGGACTTTCACAACTCCCCCATGATGATGAGACATATGAGGATTACAGAGGTGACGTGATACTGTTGCTGTCACTCAGTTACTAGGTGACTCTGCCCAGAGCATAGCTAATGGAGTATCCTGGCCAGTTCCCTGCCACTGCTACTGCTGTTGTCAAACCCAACTTCTCCGTTCTTCACAGCTGTTCAAGCTGCCCTTTATTGGTGGTACTCATGGGCAGCTGCTCCTGAGCAGGCCCTGGGAAACGAGTCAAGGTCTTCCATCACGGATACTGCCCTGATCCATCCGCTCTAGAGAAAGACTTCATTACTTGTACTGCCCACAGCTGAAGGAGTTTCCTAACAAATAGCTATCTCATTGTATCAAAGTGTCTTAATTTCATTTCTGATGTTGTGATAAAAAAAAAAAAACCCTGACAAAAACAACTTAAGAGAGAAAGGGTGGGTTCAGCTTACAAATGTAGATTGTAGGAAAGCCAAGAAGGCAGGAACTCGAAGCACCTAGTCACATCTCCAGTTACAGGCAGAGAGAAGCTGTGTGCATGCTGGTGCTCTGCTAATTTACTTTCATACAGTCCAAAATCCCCTGCCTAGGGAATGGTGTCACCCACAGTGGACTCATCTTTCCACCTCAATTAATGTTGTTAAAATAGTACCTCAGAAGCCAACCTGATCTAGGCAGCCCCTCTTCCCAGATGATTCCATAGTGTGTCAAGCTGACAATTAAAACTAACTGTTCCAGGTTGTAAATGTTACCCAGCTAACCCAGTGACATGACAAGCCAACTTTCCCTTCTTCCTCACAGGGGGCAAGGATACCATACTGTTCAGTGACCAGACTCTCCCCACCATACAGAGGTCAAAATCCCCACTGTTGAAGTTTGTGGAACAACCCACTGAGAACAAGGAGAGTGCCCGGGATGGTAAGTATATCTTGGGTTTGCTGTCTTTTCTTGGTCTGTTTTATACACTCACATACACACATACATACACATACACACACACACACACCACACACACGCATGCACATACATGAATGCACATACTTCTAGCTGAGCTACAATTCTTCCTTCCTTCCTTCCTTCCTTCCTTCCTTCCTTCCTTCCTTCCTTCCTTCCTT